TCTCTCTTCTCTCTTCTCTCTTCTCTCTTCTCTCTTCTCTCTTCTCTTTTCTTTTTTTTTTTCCAAGTAAGCTCCATGTCCAGCATGGAGCCCAATGAGGGGCTTGAACTCATGACCCTGAGTTCAAGACCTGAGCTGAGGTCAAAAGTCAGAAGCCCAACTGACTGAGCCCCCCAGGTGCCCCAAGAGGCCCTTTTTCTTATCCATCCCCAGGGCTGCCTGTCCTCTCATTTAGAGTTGCTTTTCTCACATTTTTTTCTTTTTTTATCTCTCTTTTTTTAAGATTTTATTTATTTATCTGACAGAGACACAGTGAGAGAGGGAACACAAGCAGGGGGAGCGGGAGAGGGAGAAGCAGGCTTCCCGCGGAGCAGGGAGCCTGATGCGGGGCTCGGTCCCAGGACCCTGGGATCATGACCTGAGCCGAAGGCAGACGCTTAACGACTGAGCCACCTAGGAGCCCCATCACATTTTTTTTCTTTTGGGGATTTTTCTGACCCTCCCTCATCTTCATTGACCTGACTGAAGGGCTTGCTACTCAGTGCTCAGTGGTGGGAAGCAGTCCTGGGTTTCTTCCATCCGTGTGAAGAGGAAGAACCAGAAACCAAGTCGAGGACAGGCCCGTATAAGTATTTGACTAATTCTTGCCTGGGCTTCATTTGTATTCCCAGAAAGTGGAGCCAAAAGCACGTCCTGCTCTAGGCTGAAATGTTCAGTGGGGGAGTTGAGTAATGTAGACATTTGGTGGGAGAACACTATTATAGGTTGTGCCTGATGATCTCAGTTGCTGTTTTTCCCTCTTTGTTCCTATGATTCTATCCTCCCTCACCTTGTGCTCTCCCTTTTCAGTCAGACTTCCACCTTTCTATCTGAAGCCCATTCAAGCCATGCCTAGGGACAGGTGGTCTTGTGGTTTGTAGTCTGAATGTCATAACTGTCACTGTTACAGAGTCATTCATGTGAATGCTCTCTCCTTTTTGTCTCTTTCCTTTCTTACACTATAGGAAACATGTGTTTTAAGAGGCTTAGCTTTCCATCATGGTCCTCCAAGTGCTTGCAAAATACAAAATGAAAGAGTATGCAGTTTCATAGAAAACTTACTCTGGATACCATACTGTAGCAGGTTTTATAGGATTCATACAATTTGAAATGAAATAATGTGAATTCGCTTTTAACAAATATATGGTGTCTATTATATATAAATTTCAACGCAATATTTTCTAAAAGAAGCCTTGGTGTCTAAAACGTATTAAATAATATATTTAATATTATATATTATATTAATATATTAATAAATACTTCTATACAGTAAGGTCTCAGTGGTTTTATTTCTAGTTAGCATACTTTTTAATGAAGTTTTACTTATGCCTGTGGTGAATATTGTTAGTTTTCAAATCATTTCATTCTCCCAATCTTACTTTAAAAGCTTTCCAAGAGACTGAGGAATAAGAAATTCAAAGAACCAATCACTAGTGCTTTACAGAAGCTAGAGCAGCATGGTGGAAATGTAAGTAAAACGTTATTCCTTGTCTTATTTTTTTTTTACTTTTACACTACAAAATTGTATAACGTGTTATTTCAGCCACAAGAAATCATGTGGAGTTGATATTATTTTCATTTGAGAGCTCACAGTTTCTGTCTTGCATAGCCACAGTTTGTAAGCACTGGGATTCAGACCAGACTGTGTAAATGCTGGGGCCCTACACTTTCTCTGTGTTTTCTATACGACACTCCATGTGGTGCAGATTTGCAGTTTTTTTTTTATTTTGGATGTTTTTGCTTAGACCATAGGAAAGTTCAGAAAACAAAAGGATTAATATAAAAGAGCTCATTGAAGAACGTACTTTTTTTTCCTTTCATTTGACATCTTTTTTGTCTAAAAAATTTACAATTTTCCCATCTTCCAAGATTGAATGAGATTTCCACATGACTGTGATACCATGTCTGGAAGTGCACATGTTCAGGAACATGTGTGTGCACACGCATACACACACAAGAATGAATCCGAGTGTTCTGACTTGCAGGAATGTGCAAGAATGGGGGGCTCTCATTAGTATCTGTGTGGTGTCAAATAACTAAGTTAATTGAATTTTCATCGTTTAAAAAGTGTTCACATAATCTAGTCTTGGAAGTATTTCTGTAAAGCAGTGATTCTACCTTGATTTGGAGATTACATTTAATCAGATCTTAATGATAGGGTTGCATGTGATTATTTTAACACTGAAGAACTTAGTTCCATTGGAGGTACTTTCTAAAGGAATTATATAGAAAATAATTTGTGTGATCATACACAGTTTTAAAATGGGAGATGTATTAGTTTAAGCTTTGTCTAGATTACCTAATTTGACCAATTCCAGTCACTGTTAAAATACATTATATTCTTTCCATGAGGAATGCCTAGACTAAAGTTTAGGAGGAAGAAGTAAGTCCCTAGACCACTAGATAACAGATTTCTTTGTTGTGTGGAGGATTAGCGTTCAGACACCTTATTGAGATGTACACAACCATCCCCCAGCCAACCCAGTGTCTCAGCAGAAATCTTTTTGCTTGCAAATGCGCTTCTGAGAATTGGAATGCAAAATAATTTGTCATTTCCTCCCCTGTGAAATGCTAGTAAATAGGTGCTAAATATTGATGGGAAAGCTTTCAATCTGGAACTCTCCCCAGGATATTTTCACATGTTCTGTGGAATGGGGCAGGAGGAAAGGGACAGGCCCAGCATGTTAGATTTCAAGGGTGAATGTGCAGAGGAGGGCATAGTCTTCAAGTAAACAAACTTTAGAAACTGCATTCTGAGATTTGGAGGGGAACACAGAGGGATGTCGATCTCCAGCCCAGGGCCACAGGGGTAGCTAGCAAGGGAGTTACTCTTACTGCCACTCAGTCTCATTAGTTTTGAATCCTGCTGATACAGACAGAATTAAAAACATTTTGAAGTTAAGTATTGTTTATTCCTTCAGATTTTTTCTCTTCTTGTTCATCTAATGTCTTACATGATATTTTAATAATTTAATAATAATATTTGATCAGAAATTTTCTGTTGGCATACCATTAATATAATAATTGATCACACTCTCTGGTGGCCTAATGACCATTATGCTTGCTTTTGGTACTCTAATCCTTCATGAAATTAACAAATGCCCTTCTTTCCCTACAAAAACTTAAATGTCTATATATGTTTCTCTTTTTTTAAATAAATAGAGATGAGTCTTTAAAAGAGTCTTCTCAGTATTGCAGTTTCTCATTTCTTGGGGCTTGTGTGTCCACCAGTGATGGAAACACTCAACCTCTGGGGAGACAGGAAATTGAGCTCCAGGCACAGTGTCATTTTCTTACAACTGATCAGTTTATTACCTGCCTTAAATAGTAGTCAGTTCACTCTTACCTTGATAAAATTTTCATCCTAGTCATAGGCACGTGTCTCTTGGAAAAGCTACATACTTGGACACACCCCAATCTTGATTGAGCACGTGGGAAGTGATTACATGTCAGGGACTCAGTTGAGTACTTTTTATTTTTATTTATTAATTTATTAAAAGATTTTATTTAATTATTTGAAAGAGAGACAAAGAGAATGAGTGGTGGCTAGGGACAGAGGGAGAGGGAGAAACAGGGTCCCCGCTGAGCAGGGAGCCCCACACCTGCTCGATCCCAGGACCCTGAGATCAGGACCTGAGCCGAAGGCAGACGCTTAAGCAACTGAGCCACCCAGGCGCCCCTCAGTTGAATACTTTTTGGACATTAAAGTCGTTGAATCCTCACTGCTGCTCTCAGGGGTAGATTTTGTTATTATCCCCTTTTAAAAATCTAGAAACTGAGGCTCGGAAATAATTAGCCCCAGATTTGACAGTGAAGTGACTGGCAGAAGCTGGATTCATATACTGGTGATCTGGTTCCTACCTACTTCTCTAATTAAATATTTTTTTAAAACAGTAGTAAGAGACAACCTATATTTTACTCAACTCAAAAAAGTTCCATTTCTCATTCCATCATTTTGTTCTCATTCCATTTTGTTTGTTTTGAGTTTCGGATACTTTTTTAGGCATGCTCTTATAGATGTAATATACCTATCAGGGGAGCCCTACACAATACTAATGAAGCTAATTTTTTTTTCTGTTGACAGGGAAGCCTTATCATCATCAAATCTAAAATTCCAACATATTGCTCCATATGCTGTTGAAGAAGGGAGCCCACAAAAATCCTGTTACTCCCTGGTGACAGGTGTTAAATAATGACCATGGGTACCTAGGGAACCTTTTCAGATTCACTTCCGTTTATTCTTTTGTCAGTCACAGTCACCATTCATTATTTCCTAGATTAAGATGAGTATACGCAGTTCCACTGAATCATAGTAAAAGTTATTCATCAACAACAACAAAAAAGAATGGTCAATGATGGAAAGCTATTAAAAACAGTTCTATAATAGTACAATTTTGTGGGGTTGGTTTTTCGTATTTTTACAGTTTGGTGCGAACAACCATTATTGGGTTTATAGTAGATGTGTTTGTATTTATTTTCCAGTGCCTTTTATTTATAGTATCCCTTTCACAATCAGTTTGTACCTGTGCACTTATTTTTAAATGTTTTGTCATTTCTTGGGTTTTACATTTATCAAGGCAATGGAAATTTAAAGTAGTGGACAGACATTTGTGAATTCACTGTTAATTATTGTCTATAAATATGTATTTTATGATAGAGAATACTTGGAAGAATTTCATACCAGAGTATTCTAGTTTAAGACATTTTTTAAAATGTGTAAATTCTTTTGTAAATATGTTATTTATTACAACTCATTTAAAACTACCTGAACTTTAGGTGTTAATTATATTTAATTACATTTAAGTAAATGTTATTTTTGTATCCCATAGTCTGATACTCATTTCATGAAGGTATTCAGAAATTAAAATCGTAAACCTCTTAAAATGTACCCAATGATTTTGTTGTGTTTGCTCATGTTTAACAATTAATTTAATTTAAAAAGCTTTTAAAACCTACTTTATAGGCATAGTTCTCAGTGATGACATTGTAGAAGCTGACCCTGGATCATTCTACAAGAGAGAGGAATAGAGTGAGAAAGAGGAAACAGGAATAAGATTTTCCATCCTAAGGGCAAGAAGGGAGACCACGGGGACATGAGTAGTCACACCAGATCCAAAGCAGACATACTTTTGGAGGGACGGGGATCAGGGGTCACTCTTTTATTTGGGGGAACAGCCATATATCTCAGCACCACTGAAGAACACCTTCTTTGCTCCATCCCTCAAATATGTGGAATGACCTCTTTGTAATTCTCATTTCAGATACAGTCTCACAGCTGGAATTTAAAAGAGCACAAGAACAAGTAATTTCTGAAGAATCATAATTGCAGAAATGCCCGTGCATCCCTCAGAGTTCTTGTCTTGCCTGGTCCTCCTATCTGGGATATTCTTTTCTTAGGTCTCTACTCACCTGTCACATCCTCAGATCCTATCAGCTAAAATGTGTGCCTGCCCACGGGCCTTGCTTTTACTTTTCTTCACTGTACTTAGCACCACCCTAGGGCAAAGATATGTACAATCCTACAATGCCGTAAGAAAAACAGTATTTTTAATCTAGTACTTATAAAATTTGTTGGAATAAATACCTATAACATAGACAGTAGAGTTATAAACATTTTATTTGCTTTTATTTTTTGTTTTTGAAATACAAAATGCACATTGAGTTTACACAAACACGCGATGGCAAATTTCAGTGTACATGTATTGTACTACTCTTAATTTCTACACTGGTGATAGCAGGGCAGCTTTCAACATCCTATCTCTACACCAGAATAGATACCTGATTTATTGTTGCAAAGACAGTTGCAAATTTCCTCCTACTGTAGCCTCTTGGTCTTTATGAGATTTCTGCAAAACAGGGAGGGTGTGTGTATCCTTAGTCGTGTTGTGGCAACTTTACAATTTTGGCTTATGATCATTAAAAAGAATCTGAAGTATTGGAGTTTTATGATGAGCAAAATCATAATACAGTCCAGATGAATTGCTTGGCATTTATTTTCATTTTCAGTGAGGTTTTGGTACGGTAGTTCTTGATAGAATGGACTCACTGATGGTTTTAACGTGAATTCTGCTTGCTCTTTGTTTCCTACATGTAGGTGTTGGGGTAGTCCAGGTCCCTTTGGCCCTGAATGGCGTGTAAAAGAAAGGTACCTTGAAGGAGTCAAGGGAAAGGGGACGGACTAGGCCTTCGATGCTGTTAGGAATTACTTGGCATTAAGTATTACCATGTACTGGAGGGCAGATATCTTGACCCTTGAGCCTATAAACATCTTTGCTTTGTTCCACACCTTCTTGGACCTCCACTTAATGACACAACAGAAAACAGTCAACCTGTAGAATTGGACAAATCCAAAATTATATACATCACGTAGGCCTTGGCTGTAATATGTATTATGAAAAATTAAGAAATGCTTATTAAATAAGCTTTATTAGGCATATGCTGACATCTGGTGATGAACTAATTTATTTCATGTTATAAAAAATGCCAGATAAATGAGTATCTTTAACAGAAGGCGGCAAATGCATAGAAACTGGGACTGTGTGTTTGTTTTTTAATTATAGTAATCTTGTTTGGTTTACTTAGTGTATAAATGGAATTACAGCATACAAACATGAAAATTAATTTCTGGAAATTAAATGCAGATGCCAATACTTTAGAAAACCATTTAAAATCCTGGGGCTGAATACATCCAGTTGAGTAGCAAAAAACACTGATATTTTAAAATCACTGATAATGTGAAAGCTCAATAATCCCATGGCTAAAGAATCAATAAAACTATATGCCAGATTCTATTACTTTTGAATAGTCACAGGGTATGAAATGACTTAGAACATCCCATGAACTCAGTGGCATTATGAAAAGGATGAAAATTTGTAACTGGAAAACTCAGATCTTTTGGGGATTGCTTTATATTAAAACAAAGCTTGTTTGCATAATATGCCTCAGTGTAAAGCTGAGCAATCTATGCTAAGAGTGGTAGCTCCAACTTTAAGTGTGGTAGGATAGTTCACATTTGTCTGTTTGATTGAGGATGCATTTGACAAGTTAAATCACATTTTCAAAGAGCTGCATGGAGCGCATTATGTTTTCATCCTGTAAGGGAGAAACACAGTGGGATTAAATTAAGTATCTCTGTAAGTGAAGGGACACTGTTCTTTGCCTCTACGTACTGCCTCTCCCACCACTGCTTAGGCCAAAAGCTCGAATACTAAGTGTTTGCAAATGTAAATATCATCCTATCCATTTTCCATATAGATAAGTATGGAGAGCCCATTTTACATTTTGTTGAGTCTGCAGGCTTTAAATATTTCATTTGAATCTTACTTGGTGTTAATAGACAATATTTCTCAAATTGGAATGGCAGAATGAAAACTAGAGAGGCGCTGAGGGTAAGACCAAAAATAAGTGAACAAATGCGAATTTTGGCATTCCAGGTAGATCGCGGGCCAAGTCACAGAGACTTGTACATGTATAAGGAAACAGGGTTTGTGTGTGAGCTAAGAGCCAACTCCATTGAGGATTAGAGGTTGGGGCTTGGGAGACATGTCTATAGTCCTTTCACCTCTCTCTTTGGGTCTGTTAGGGCTAAATCTGTGGGGCCTTTAGGAGCCTTTAAAAATGCCAGAGAAGGAACTGTTTGAGAGCCACCTTGGGCCAGTGGCTGTGTTCAGTTTAGCATATTCCTTAGAAACAAGGGGACAGACTTTGAACATTATAGAGGCACTTGGAGACTGCGGATGGCACTTGGTGAGCTGTTTGTAGTAATGGTAAATAGTAGCTAAACTTGTGCTGACTTCCGGTGCTAGAAGCCAAGGAACAGCATCAGCAGGTTGATGTCACCAAGTTAACGCTCTTAAAGACCACCACATCGAGATAAGAGTTTAGAAGCAAGCAGGCACCAAGAAAGGGAAAGTATACCAATTTAGAAAAGCTAAAGTATCAACAAACCTCATTGTCTCTACATTTATCTTAAAGTATTTATTCTTAATTGTGGCTCTACCCATGCATCAAGTCAAATAGTTTTAGGTAAGCTAAAACTGGTCTCCCACCAGATAATGGAAAACTATTTGGATTTCTCTGAATTTTCCACTCTTTATTTTTTTATGACTGAAGATCTTTACTGGTTCAGCCGAAAAGCCATTTCTGGTGCTCATACATTAAAGCAGTATGTTTCCTTCAGAAATTGGATGCAAACTTGGCCTGTGATGTATACTTTGCTGTACTGGAATTCTAAATCTATAGGGATAATATGTTATATGCTCAGTCTGGGCAAAGAGCAATTCAAATCTCACATATGTTTTAACCCTCAGTGATGAGTACTCTCTAAAGGATTTAGGAAACAAAAATGCAGTATATGTGTAACATTGGTACGTTTAGGGCTTCCTACATGGCTCTCCTCAAGGTAGGCACTCTATAAATGTTAATTAATTGAATTATAAGTTGATGCCCTTTTTCAGAGTGGTAGGCTTCTCCTAGCTGTGTACAAATGGTAAGCTTAGGTCAGCATTGTACTTTGCCCAGCTCATGGTGGCTAGCTGACTCTACTTAGTCTGACTATTATGAAAGCAAAAGGGACAGTTTCTTTACTACCATTACTTACTTTTTGGCAGCTTTCAATGAATTCATCTATGGTAACAACTCCATCTTTATTTTTGTCCATTTTCTGTTCAAGAAGAAAAGAACAAAAAACTTCATTCAGAGTTCTCCCTTGGTACCCTCCCTTGATAACCTCCCTTGATACCCTCACAGCTGAAGCTGATGAAGAGTCCACCTGCTTGTTTTACAGGGAGGAAATGCTTCAGAGCAGGAGCTAGTCCTTTCTTAGTGATAAGAATCATATGGCCAATGTAGGGATCCGAAGGGGTACATGCACCCTGATGTTTATAGCAGCCATGTCCACAGTAGCCAAACTATGGAAAGAGCAAAGCTGTCCATCGACAGATGAATGGATAAAGAAGATGTGGTTATATATATACAATGGAATATTATGCCAGCCATAAAAAGGAATGAAATCTTTCCATTTGCAACAACGTGGGTAGAACTGGAGGGTATTATGCCGAGCGAAATAAGTCAATCAGAGAAAGACATGTATCATATGATCTCACTGATGTGAGGAACTCTTAATCTCAGGAAACAAACTGAGGGTTGCTGGAGTGGTGGGGGGTGGGAGGGATGGGGTGGCTGGGTGATAGACATTGGGGAGGGTATGTGCTATGGTGAGCGCTGTGAATTGTGCAAGACTGTGGAATCACAGACCTCTTCCTCTGAAACAATACATTATATGTAAAAAAAGAAGATAGCAGGAAGGGGAAAATGAAGAGGGGGGAATCAGGGGGAGACAAACCATGAGAGACTATGGACTCTGAGAAACAAACTGAGGGTTCTAG